TTAAAATTAGCACAGGAAGCTTATTTTTGTAAAAATCTCATTTTTTGTTCCCAGGTAGGCCATTTTCAGCATTGACATGTGTGCGTATGCTCATTGACTTATCAAGAGCGAAATTTGCCATTAAAGTATAGATTAACACGGTACTCCAGCGTATTAAACGACATAATTGTTCCATCGGCACCTTTGCTTCTCCTATTCGTTGATCATTTTCTAGGTGCTCTGCATTAGCTGGACGAGTTAATCAATGTTGACTAGTCACAGAACGAGGTTGGTCTGTGTGCCATCTTCGCGGTTAGTTTGCCCCCGTTGTGGTGTTTGAACATAAACATTGTGCAAAACCACTCAGTTGTCAACTCAAATGCTAGAGTAGATTGAACATAATTATTGAATTCCCCTTGCTTATTATGAGCTTATAATATAGGGGGGGGGGAACGGGGACATGTCCACTTTCCCAGCAAAAACACCCCATATCCCAGTTCCCAGTAAATAAAATCCCAATTCCATGTTCCCAGCGAAATCTATGTAGACATGCTTTCAGAAAGTCAGTATTTAGGTTTTCAAACATACATAAATACTGAATATTTACAAGTATTATTTATTGGGCATTAATAATAAAAAATAAAAAAAAATATTAAACAAATATCTTAGCGCCGAGAAATTGAAATCTCACGACATCTGACATCAATTTTCCCAGATCCCAGCAATTTTAGAGCGGTGTTTCCACGTCGCCGATGGACTTACTATTCTCCGATCACGAAAATTTATCTGACATTTTCAGTTCCCAGGTAAATTAAAATGGCCAATCCCGCTCCGAAAAATAACCCGTTCCCCCCTCATAACTAGTCTAGTATATGTTACTGTATAGTTATTGCAGGCCTACGTCTACGGTCCAAATCTACGGACACGTGACTGCCACCGCGGCAGTCTCATTTGCCCAATGCTACTGCGTTTACACGCAGCCCGTGACGCATGCCACGGAGCGTGCTGGGGTAATTCAGACTGGGGTAAATCCCAGACCTGACACGGCAATGCTGTGTGTCAACTGTTAGACTTATAGTATTTAATTGTATTAATTAGGTGAGCTACTGAGCTATTTCTTAGGGGAAGAAAAACAGTTTATTTAAATTCTTGAGGCCTACCGTACGTGCCAATCTATTGTTTTCGCATAAGTTATGTGCTAAACTAATCTTGTGTGCTAAACTAGGCCCGGTGGTTTTTGCAGGGAACCTGCACACATGTAGCATCGCCCGAGCGGGCCGAGATTCTCCCCAATCGGAGCCGCGTCCCTGAAACGCGTGCCGAGCTTTCCAGGACGTCCGCCATGACGGCGGAGCAGTGTTAGAATCAGCTCTACAGGAGATTCCTGCACTCCCGTTCGTTCATCAAGGGCTGGGGGACAACGACAGCCTCAAGGGATGTTCGACGCTGCGCAGTGGATAGCGCCAAACCGCGAAACTCGCGTCAGTCGTCTCGCCGGGATCACCCCGATTCACATCGACAAGGAGGCGAACCGCGAGACTGCAATGATCCTCGAGGGACACTTCCTTGTCAGCGATGGTCGACGTTCGGCCTGGGAATGTCCCGCCGACGGCAGAGGTCGCCAATTCAGATGGATTACTGCCGCTGAAGTGGAAGAGCCAGCTGCGGCCGTGTGCCGTGCACTCTCGCCGGCACCAGGCGACCACGGCCTACTGGAAGCGTTCGGACGCTGGTCGCGCGCGCTCGTCAAGCAGTCCGGCATCGCGTCGATCCTGCTCGAGAATCGTGATTACGGGCGCTCGCAAGCCGAAGGAGCAGTGGGGGTCGCGCCTGCAGAACGTCACGATCTCTTCGTGATGGCGCGGCTGCCTGAATCTCGAGTCGATCGCGCTCTTTCAAATGGTGCGAGCGCAGGGCTTCGCGTCGATCGCATCACTGGATTTCAGGCGGGCACATGGCGTCGCTCGCAGCGGGAAACTACCACAAAGCCTATCCCGCCATCATCCCGTGCATGTCGTGGAGACGGCATCGAGCGTGTTCACGGCGGCTGTCCTCTCCGGTTCTAATCGACTGGCCAGCTGCTGCAGTCACAGTACAAGCAGCCGCCATCTGGAGCGAGCAGGATTTCCGACACGCATGCACTCGCCCGACGTCGACGGAATCCGGCGTTCTGCATCGGCGGAGAGTTCGCGCGAGGCGGTACCCGTACGGCCGGCAGTTTGTCGAGAAGTTTCAGCGGCATGGAGCGTCGCGAAACAACATGAAGATGACATTCCTCGTTCTGCGAGCGGATCCTCGAAGTTACCAGCAGCGCTGAGCAAGCGGCGGCGCGCAAGAGCCGGGACGCCGCGCCGCGAGACACTTTCATCAACGGACCCGCGCCGCCACGAGCGAAAGTTTCGCCGCACTGCAGCGTGGCGGCAGGGGGCGCCGACGGAGCTCGACGTCGCTGCATGCGCCAGTGCGGCGCTGTACTTCGAGGCGGCAGACGGCGGCGGCGGCACGTGCGCGGAGCACCGGAGAAGGACAGTGCGCTACCAGATCGTTCGCTCATCCACAACCAGGCGACGACGCAGGACGCCGCTCGGCGGTGGCGGGCGACGGCGACGACAGACAGCGGCGCCTCCTGGTGGCGCGGCGGCCCGCGATGCACGGAGGACTGCGCCACGATTTCTATGCGCCGCGGCGTCATGGAATGAATTACGCACGGTCGCCAAATACTCGCGTGCCCGTCGACAGAGCCTGATCATGTCGTCGCGCGGGAGAGCGACGCGCTACATCCGCGCCGAGGGCTGTGTTCGCGCTGACGACGTGGTGGCGGACTCGCTGCGAGGTGCGCTACTACCGTACAGTCCGGACAACATCGCGAACCTTTCTCTTTAGCAGCACGTGTTTCGTGCGCTGCGATTAGCGGACGCGTTTTCAACCGCCGCCGCCGTCAATACTTTGGCGCTCGCCCGATGGCGCCCCAGTCGCCGTCGCGACACCGCGCCGAACAAGCGCCGCGTTCGAGCAGGTTGCCTAGACCTTGTTCCCGTGCAAGCCCAATCCTGCTTCGTCTCCGCACGAGGAGGGGAGATGGAAGCGAGAGGGCGAACGGATGCCACAGCTCTGAGTCGTCGTTACGTTCGATGAGAAGCTACTCAATCTGGTCAGACGATGTGCTCTCAGTCAGTCACACAGCTGCTTTGCTGTTTGTGAGCTTTGCCCCGAAAGAAAACGGTTCTGTGGTAGATTCTTTAGGCAGATAGTGTGTTACATTTGTCTTTCTTCTGCTTAGTCTGCCATATAGAATGGCTCTTCTAGCTATGCTTGTAGAATTTCGAGGTATAATGAGGTGCTGCTAACCGTCACTGAGGTGCTGATTCCAGCCATTCAGAAAAAATTTCATTACGTGCAACTTGTTTGCTCTCTCGCTCATGAAATTTGGGTTTGAGCATTTTTATAACTTAGTTTTAGATGGGAGTTAATTTTTTTAACATAACTACTATATATTCTGGATCTCACATATTGATTTACTAAATTATTTGCACGCGTGGCTGAACATTTCTTCTCCCTGTTTATCTGTAAATGTACGTGTTTATCAGATTGTGCGGGTTGCAATGCGATTTGTTGGTTAGTAGAATTTTGACGTAGTCTTCAGGCTTGTTACTTATTACAATGAGAGTATTTAGATATTGCGTGCCGTATTTCTTCTGATAATGCTTGTGTGGCGTATTTACTTGGCTGAAATGTGTGTGGTACTGCCTCGTGGTGCCTTAGACTATCGTATATGGTGATTCTCTAGCACAGCTCTTCGATCGCTTCTCTTTGCTTATAGTTCTTTCAGTGCATCTGCAGTGGAGTGATGTTGCCGAGTTGCCTTAGCTGCAATGTTACCTGTGTCGTTCAAAATTCATGCGTCACCTAGAATTCTATTGTAAAAATTTGTCATCCATGGCCATTTGCTTACGCATGTATGTACCATGTATCATTCATTGGTATCTTATCTTCTTCAGGATGTAGTTCCAAGAGCAAGGGGCTGCTTCCCCCATGCCAGATAGACTTATTGGAGCAAGATAAAATATGTTATAATATAATAAACGTTATAATGATGATAACCCTGCAATAATTGTTTAATAATAAAAACAAAATCATCCATCACATGGCTCAATTGCTTAACATGGCTTAGTTTTTGAACTTTTTTTAGAAAACAAAAGATCTTCCATCCTCAGACTCGATTCGGAGACGGAAATTTACAACCTTTAGAACTGTTAATTTATATTATCTTGCCAATCGATGTTCTCGATATCATTGATAAGATGTAAATGCGTTTAGTTTACAAACCCATGTGTTAGAATTATCTTTAGATACTAGTGGTGCAATCCAATCATTGGCTTCTGTCCTCGTCTAGTATATCTAGTCGAGCTGTCTTCTGTGTGATAGTTTAAATATGTAGGGATTTGGTGGGCACGCGAAAAAAATACCACCGGAGCGGCCAAGCAGAATTTCGCTCCCGTCAGCGGTTTAAAGCCAACGTTTGTTTTGCAAAACTACCAATTGTGGTAACAACAATACGAGAGCGAAATTTTTGGAAGATACGAGAAAAAATCGCTCCTGTGCCACCGGGCAGCGTTCGGAAATTAAGGTTCCGACCCGGAGGCCCGAGCCCAACCAAGTTTTTGCTCGGGCCACCATCTCTACGTGAAATACGAGTTAGCGCAACGCACAGACTTATTTATGGGTAGAGACACTCTTAGGCTGTGGCGGGTTTTAGCTTTTTTTACCCCCCGGCAAAAAGTGGTGCGTAGTATGAAACAAAATAATTGTAATATAAACTTAATTTTTACGGTAACTACAATGCTAAAATCGTTGCACAACATTGTACGGCCGTGATATCCGCTTAAATAAAACTATGGAGTAGATATAAGTATTTAATGTTTTCAGCGGTTACTGTACATATGCTGTGGCTTATCCGGCATGAAATACAACTCGGTATATTTGTACAAATACATTTCTTATCTATGCTAGAAAAAAGCGGTCAGCCGACACTACCGCTTTATAAACTAAAGTTGTAACAAGCGCGCATCCAGCGCAACCTGCTCAAAGGTTCGTATACTTACTACAGGGCGTAGCCGCATGGGGGGGGGGCAGCTGCCCCCCCACCAAAAAAAGAAGCCCAAAATTGAAGAATAATGGGCAACTTAGTAAGTTCAACAATTTACAGTATGATATGATAATTGACGTATTTAATGTAGTAACCTACCCTGAATGCGCTGGAAATAGCATTTCAGAGCTTCGTTATTTCAAAATTTCCTGGGGGGGCATGCCACCCAGACCCCTTAGAAGCGAGCCTCCGGCGCTCGTTCACCTTGCCCCCCCTCTCATTACATTAATTCCTAGCTACCGCCCTGACTTACATACACGATTGCATAATTACATGGTTTCGAGACAAGCATTGCTTAATTTTACATGTTTCTTCTGTCTGTTACCTCAACTACGGCGATAGAAAGTGATAGAATCGAACCAATACGCGCGTTATTGCTATATCTAATTAACTAATGACCTCTAATAGTGACCTCTGCCATCGATTACTGGGGTTACAACATTGGCAGATGGTGGGCCGTGAGGCATGAGCACCACCGCTGAAAAAATAAAAAAATGGCTATTGAATTTCGAGTATATAATTTTAAAAAATTCAGCGGATGGCGTCAAAACCTTAACGGTAGGCCCACCGCACGTATTCGTAAAAAAATTCACATGGCTATGCCACTGCAATTAGTTTTATGGATTAGGCATATCCCTAGTAAATGTTCCGTATCCATCCCATGGAATCCAGCAACCAATCGTAAAGAACGCCGATAAATTTTTGATGTTTTCTATAATTCTCGCATAATTCCTCGTTAATAAGAGCTGACCGTCAAAGTTCTGTACAGGCGTCAAAATCGCGAAAATTCTTATTGCTTAACAGATGCGTACCCACAGTGCAGCTCGATTGAGGAGTCGTCCTCGCTACACAGCCCGTATACAGTTATATCCAAACGTTGGATGGTCCTCTTCGGAAACAACCCTTAGTGAGCTACTCTGTCTATATAGCGAGTGCGATTTACGGGTAAGTCGTAAGATCAGCGTAAAATGCCCCACTATACTACGCAAATGCGTAGTATCAGCGCGTAAGAAGCCCACAACAGATACATCGTGAATCAATAGAAATAAAGTATAAGTAGCCTAGCCTAGGCTCTACTGTATTTCTAATGCGGAATCAGTGTAGCTCATTAGTGGCGCACGTGCGCAAGATCAGCGGTAAATGCTCAATCATTAGACATGCGCAAGTAAACGTCGCGCGTGATCTATGGCACGCGCGAATACAGCGCACATTGTCCTACCTGCAGGGGGGTGGTCAACGTAGACTGGCCCCGAGCGCCGCTTGCGTGAACGTGTTGTCGGCCTGCGTACATGAGAGGCGCATCGGAACGAAGCCCTCGGTGCCCGTGCGCATTTCACGACCAGAATCCAGTCTCTGTCGTTCCATGAATTGAAGCACAGTGACGAATTCGACCCGCCGCTCGAACGCTCACCATCGTTCTTCGTCCTGCGCCTTGTACGTGTAGCAGCGCACGATGTAGCGACGGCCGGCGCGTCTTCCGGCGAACCTGACGCACGTCCGACGCACCGTTAAACGTCTCCTTAAAGACTCAGCGCCCGGCAAGCGGCGAGCAGCATGCTGGCGTGCTGTGCGCTGGCTCCTGCTGCGGGTACGGTGGCGGTTACGCGAGCGCCGCCCTGGTGGTGAGCGTCGCGCGTGACGGTAGGCCGCGCGCAGCCAGCGGCGCTTGTTGCGGTAGTCGTGTGCGCGTCCGAGCGGAGCGGGACGCGGGTTGTTGAGGCCGCGCCGCGTGGCTCCTGCTGCTGCTGCTGCTGCTGCGTGCTGCTGCTGTGCTGCCTGCAGAGGCGGGGTGGAGTGCCCTGCTGCTGACTGCGCTCCGGGCATCTCCGCCAGTGCTTTCCCGAAGGCCGCTAGGTGTTGTTCTCCGTGTCTTACGCGAGCTCGCGTCGACTCAGGTACCGCTCGTGCTCCACGGGCACCCCGCCGGCCGCCTCCCTCGCTGTCGGCCTGTTGCTACCGCCTGCGCGCTCGCGATGGGTTCGATCGTGCTGTCCCGACGGCGATCTTGTGTCGACATGCCAGGCGCTAGCTCGGCAGGGCGTGCCAAAGAGCGCCGTGTACGTGCCGGGGTGAAGCCTTCCGCGCCTATGGCGGGCTCACGCCACCACGTACAGTCCACTCGTTCTCCTGGGTTAAAGCATGTAGACCGTCTCGACCCGCGCTTGACGCCGATCTCATCATCGACGCACGGCGCGGATAGTGCGTGAAGCACGATGAGGCTTCTGCTCGGGAGTAAAGAGGCGGCCAGCCGGCCGCCGCGATCGCTTTCCCGCAGTTCATCAGCGTCTCCAGGCTGGCGCTGCCGCCGTGATGCGGGCCGCAGGGGCGCGTAACTTCGCGCTCGCGGTGAGCTGAAAGCGTACATTGATTGATGCTGAGGCTGATGGATTGATAACTGATAGCGTTGATGTTGATTGATGCAGAGAGGCGGAGATTGCGTGAAGTTGTGCCTAAGGCCGACCCTAGGGTCGGATTGCGATTGAATGCGAGCGCGCCGCAACGCAATTGCAAACTCACTGCGACTGAGTGTTAGGTCGAACAGTGACGCGACTGACAGTGGCAACGAGCGACTGGACACTAGAATTCGCCAGAAGGCGCTTAGGTCGAAGCGACTAATGAGTTTCAAGCCGGCCTTAAGTTAAGACGGGTTTTGATAGGGAGGCGTGACCGCGTGAATAAAAATATTACAGTGAGCAGAGTTTTAGATAAAGTGAAAATCCTTTACAATAAAGAGGGCTAATCTTGTGTGTGGCCGTTGTGTGTGTGTGTGTGTGTGTGATAGTGTGTGTGTGTGTGTGATGTGTGTTTGTTTGACCTCGCTTTCTTCCGTATTTTCCACTCAATGCGCGTAACCTGAAGATATATTCAGAATTACCACGTCTTGCAGGTGTTCTGGCTGAGACAAGGAAATTGTAAAAAGGTTAAAAAGTTAAATAAAAAAATTCAAAAATCGCCTTATTTTTTAAATATTATATAATTTAACAATCTATTATTATTTATTATTCTTGTTGTCTTTCTTATCTTACACAGTATTTACTCATACAAATTTACATCATAAAGTACTGAGAAAACAGCAATAACATGACTGTGTAGCAATAATGATCAAAACATAAATGACAAGAAATTGAACAACGTGAACAAAAAGCTAAACAAAATTGACAAACAAAACAGGCAGAGCGCTCTAATTTACATCTGTAACACAATATATGTATTGGTAATAGGTCCTAATAAACAGCAGTTTATACACACATATAATATATATATATATATAGTATTTATTATACATTACAATGTATGATTCTGTTACATCTGGGTATGGGATGGGTCAGTGGATGCGGATATGTATACTGGGGATGGGATGGGGTCGGCGATGGGGATCGGATCGGATCCCATGGGATGGCATAGGATGGCATGGTGAATGGATTCATGATAGAAGAATTCTGGGATGGGATCATCGAGTGGACATATAGAGTGCATGGCATGCTGGGTGGCATGGGCGTGGCCCATGGCAGGATGGATAGAAGAGCAGATGGGATGGGATGGCATGGGCAATGGCATGCGTATGGGAGGGATGGGATATGGATGAGATTGGGATGGGATGGCATGACAGGGCATGCATCGGATGGATGGATGGAATGGATGGATGGCATGGATGGATGGATGGATGGATGGATGGAGTGCGATGGATGGATTGGATGGATGGATGGATGGAATGGATGGATGATGGATGATGGATGATGGATGGATGGATGGAGGATGGATGGATGGATGGATGGATGGATGATGGATGATGGATGGATTGGATGCGATGGATGGATGGATGGATGGATGGATGGATGGATTGCATGGATGATGGATAGATACATACATAGATAGATTAGATAGATTTTGCGGGTATTTCCTTTCAACCAAGTGGTCACCAACTGAGCACTTTTTCCCCTGCTCACTTGCGCTCGCATAGAAATTACGCTCTTTGTTTCTTCCCAAATGTTTTTTTTGTTTCTGTTTTCCTTTCAGTTGCATGAAATAATTACCTTCAACCTGTGTCACTTACATGAGTTATATTTTAAGGCACGATTTGCTGGTTGTACGGTATTAAAGTCCTGCTAGCATGTATAAAAGGGTCACTTAGGGGAAACCTATACCGAGTTTCCCTTTTAGAAAAAGTCCTCTTCCTTCATAGAACTAACGCGAACACATGCTTGACTGTGATTCATCAGGCACTTTCAATGATGGTCGATAGGGATTAAAAAAGAATGATTTAATCAAGGACAATTAAGTTCGTCTTTTATGATATGACAGCTGATCGTCTACAAAATATATGAATGGGTATACTGTACGCGCCGAGCAGGAGTGTGGGTGGGCGATGCCCACCACAGATAGTAACACGTATTAACAATGTCAAACGCAGCCATCCGTGCCTTGCCATGGTTTATACCATGTGTGTGTGATCATACCCCATGGGCCACGGAACAAATCTAGTCGCTTCACTAATCGCACTATAGATGGAAGTGAACGTATGGGTGTTAGAGCCGTTTATTAATCATACATATACACACACCGCGCACGCACACACAGGCACACGCGCACGCACACACACACACAGGCACACGCGCGCACACACGCACACAGGCACATTCGCGCACACACGCACACACACACACATCGCGCGCGCGCGCACGCACGCACACGCACGCACACGCACGCACACGCGCACGCGCACGCGCTCACACACACACCCACAAACACACACACACACACACACACACCACGCACGCACTGCGCGCACACACACACGCACGCACGCACGCACAACACACACGCGCACACAAACGCCACGCACGCGCGCGCACACACACACATGACCGTCTTCATTCGATCTCCATCACCTTCTCCGCTCCTCCTCCTCCGCTCCTCTTCCTCCCTCTACTTCATCACCTTCTCCCCTCCTCCTCCTCTTCCTCCTCCTCCTCCTTTCCCCTACTCCTCCTCCATGACCGTCTTCATTCGATCTCCATCTCAGGGGCAGGTACGTTTAAGTAAACATAGGGTACATATATGCTGAGAAAATACAGGTCTGTCAGGCGTGTCAAAATAGAGCCATTAGATGACGTTTTCTCGGGACTAGAGCACACATTATAGGTTTTATCTTCTATAGAGAGATAAATTAAGGCTGTAAATTGTGTACCAGTAGAGTACAGGGTAATGCAACTAAAGGTTGCTGAAGTTCACATTCTGAAGTTCACAGTTTCAATACCGAGGAAGGTGAGATATCAATATTCACATCAAGGGTGGGAAGCAGTGGGGAAAAACGCTTTTACTTATACTGCAATTAAGACTTGGAACTACCACAACATATTAGGATAAATGCTATTTATAATAGTTTTTTAAGTATAGTGTTAAAACATGTTTAATGGAAAAGGTTGAAACGTTGGAGGCAGAAGAGTTTGAATCCCACTAATCTGATTCTGATTGTAAATATGGTACTATAAGAAATGTATAAATTATGAAAAGAGTAAAACTTACAAGTAATTAAAGTACAAATTTGTATATTTCGATAGTTTAAAGTGCTGATGGTCGTGCTGTTATTAATAACAGTAATGTAGCAAGGACCACAATGTAAATAAGTGTGCTATAGTCATACTTTTTGTATATATATATATTCTATGTAGTTATTTAATTTCATGAATTTAAAATCTATTGTAACAGTATAATGTATAAAAGAATTATATGGATAATTACCGAAACGAATAAATAAATTGAATAAATAAAATAAAAGTAGAGATGCGCTTATCTCGCTGGCATGACGCTGTAACAATTAACATAATCCGCATTTCAAGGAGCTGCTTTGCTTGGACAAAGCCTGTTGCGGAAACAAAAGCAACGCAGTTGCGGGGGCCTAATGATCCACGTGAGCCATAAAGAAAAATACAAAACACCCTTAAAACAATCGTAGTAAATGATAGAATAAGATTGTTACGCCAACCTGAACTTATCCTAAGCCAGATGTGGGTCATTTCTTGAAACCTTTGTGAAAAAGAACTATTTCATCGCCATAACTCAGTTATAGGCCACGAAATATGTCAACCGTTTGCAGAAATTTCGCGATTTCCTGTCAGAGAATTAAACCAGTTTTCTATTTATGATAGTTTTTCTTTGTCTCCAGTTTCCGCGCGTGCAGGGCCAATATATCATCCGGTAGATATTTGCGCTTGACTAATGTACAGCGTCACCTATTTTCCGCGTGACAAATATTCCGTGCGACCAATTTTACGGATCCAGGCTGCATTTAAGCCTACAGGTATATTAAACGAGTGAAGTACTCTAATAATAATACCATATGATTATAATAGTTATAAAAATATCAACATTATCGATGCGTAGGCCCTAATGTACGTGATTTTAAATTTAAGCTCCATTTAATTTATAGATTACGGCGCCATTTAACTGACACTGATAAATGTATCTTGACGTTGTTTTTTGAAATGATCAGTTAAATGCACAGTTCAAACAATGAAAGCCACAATATAGACGGTTGTACGGATAGGTATTTCTATAGCTCTGCTCGTGGGACGTGTTTAACATAGTGCGTGCATGGCCTTGGTCTTCGTAGATATTTGCTGCTGCTTACACTTAATCTTCTTATTCAGCAAATAGTCGTTGCTTTTAGCGTCTTTGTTCTTCTCTTACCAACCACCTGCTCGCGTCTGCGCGCGTGTCTCTATATAGCACATACTGAGCTGGCGCACTTTCATGTTTGTCTTGCCAGTATATGAGTTTGTATTTGGCGTGTCACCCACCACAATCGCACTAGGCAGGTGTGAGTAGGCCTACCCTGCACGGCGATCTCCTCTCGCTCTGCCAATATATTTTTATCTCCGTATATACAGTTCAATTTATATAGACACTTATCGCGGTGACCACGGAAGTATAAGCTGACTGTAATTACTTGTGGAATCGTAAGCAGTTCATTCAATGCAGGACAGTATCTAAAACAATAGGTCGATCAAAATTAAATTGCTTTACCAATAAGGTATGCTCACCTATATTGAATATAATAACGGAAATGGTTAGTGTTAGGATGAGGGTTAATAGTTTGGAGGTCTAATTCTATGTGCGTGCGTATACCTATACCTACCCTAACACACACGTACACACACACACACACACACACACACACACACACACACACACACACACACACACACACACACACACACACACACACACACACACACACACACACCACAACACACACACACACACACACACACACACACACACACACATATACATATATATATATATATATATATATTATATATATTATAATTATAAGCTATATAGGGTATACGACTATACGTACGCGGCTACAGTCGGCAATGACAGAGCGGAGAGGCTCTGCCGGCAACAGGGTTGCCCGCAAAACGGCTCATTAGCATACAGATGGCAGCGCGGTCGTTGCGCGCGGCGGGCAGCCCTATTCTCCCACCGCCGACGGCAGCCGACCGGCGTTAGCGCGGGCGAGTTTGAACGCGACGACCGTGTTGAGCGATGCAGGCGACGCGGGAGAACGACGCTAGCCTACTTGCGCGGCAGCTGCGAGTTCACAATCGCTCGCATCACGCGACAGCGTGCGCTCGTTTCTTGCATACTCGCTGCTATCTTCGCTTGCGACGACATGACATATAGTCACAGCTGAACGTGCGGTGCCGATGAGAAGGGTATAAGTGTGTATAGGTAGTCGCAGACGAGTAAGAACGAACCTGGTTCTTTGGCAGTAAACCGGTCCACCGGCGTTACTGCTTACGCCGTGTTTAATTCGAGAGGAGGGTACAGTGACTCCGCAGGCGCACACAGACGTCGTCGTCGTTCCGTTATTGTCGTTGTGACTGTCGGGACACAACAGCGGAAACATGGCCTTTCTCTTTCCAGTGAGGACGCGCAAGTCAAGGAAAAAACCAGTAAACCACGTTTAAATATATATAAAGTGAAGAAGCGAATGTTTTGTCTGCGATGAGAATACATTACATCTGTAACGCGCTGCGTGTGGGCTAGTATAGCCACAAAGCAGTTTTTACAATCGTAACATTACTCTGAAAGTTAGAATCTATAGTAATTTTGGGGTACATAATAGTAATATCAGGACTGGTAATATTCTGTAACCATACCACAACGGAGATTCTATTAAGTGCTCCTGATAGTTATACTACATATATCAGGAGCCGTATAATGACAAATATTTGTCATTATACGCTCCTGATAATATGTGTTGGTAAATCTAAAACGTTAATTGAAGTTTGTGTGTGTGCGTGTGTGCGCGCGTGCGTGTGTGTTGTGTGCGCGCGCGTGCGTGTGTGTGTGCATCGTGGGTGGTCGTGTCGTGCGGTGCGTTGCGGGTGTGTGTGTGCGCGCGTGTCGTGGTGTGTGTGTGTGTGTGTGTGTGTGTGTTTGTGGGTGTGTGTGTGAGCGGCTTGCGCGTGCGCGTGCTGCGTGCGTGTGCGTGCGTGTGCGTGCGTGCGCGCGCGCGCATGTGTGTGTGTGTGTGCGTGTGTGCGCGAATGTGCCTGTGTGCGCTGTGTGCGCGCGTGTGCCTGTGTGTGTGTGTGCGTGCGCGTGGCCTGTGTCGTGGGCGTGCGCGGTTGTGTATATGTAGATATAATAAACGGCTCTAACACCCATACGTTCACTTTCCATCTAAGTGCGATTAGTGAAGGACTAGATTTTCCGTGCCCATGGGGTATGATCACACACACATGGTATACAACCATGGCAAGGCACGGATGGCTGCGTTTGACATTGTTAATACGTGTTACTATCTGTGGTGGGCATCGCCCACCCACACTCCTGCTCGCGCGTACAGTATACCCATTCATATATTTTGTAGACGATCAGCTGTCATATCATAAAGACGACTTAATTGTCCTTGATTAAATCATTCTTTTTAATCCCTATCGACCATCATTGAAAGTGCCTGATGAATCACAGTCAAGCATGTGTTCGCGGTTAGTTCTATAGAAAGGAAGAGGACTTTTTCTAAAAGGGAAACTCGCGTAGGTTTCCCCTAAGTGACCCTTTTATACATGCTAGCAGACTTTAATACCCGTACAACCAGCAAATCGTGCCTTAAAATAATACATTCATGTAAGTGACACAGGTTGAAGTTAATTATTTCATGCAACTGAAAGGAAAACAGAAACAAAAAAACATTTTGGGAAGAAACAAAGAGCGTAATTCTATGCGAGTGCAAGTGAGCAGGGGAAAAAAGTGCTCAGTTGGTGACCACTTGGTTGAAAGGAAAATACCCCAAAATCTATCTATCTATCTATGTATGTATCTATCCATCCATCCATGCATCCATCCATCCATCCATCCATCCATCCATCCATCCATCCATCCATCCATCATCCATCCATCCATCCATCCATCCATCCATCCATCCATCCATCCATCCATCCATCCATCCATCCATCCATCCATCCATCCATTCCATCCATCCATCCATCCATCCATCCATCCACTCCATCCATCCATCCATCCATCCATCCATCCATCCATCCATCCATCCATCCATCGGATGGCATGCCCTGTCATGCCATCCCATCCCAATCTCATCATATCCCATCCATCCCATCCATGCCATGCCATGCCATCCCCATCCATCTCTCTTCTATCCATCCCATGCCATGCCACCCATGCCACCCATGCCATGCCACTCTATGCCACCATGCCATCCCATCCCAGATTCTTCTATCAAATCCCATACCATGCCATCCTATGCCATCCCATGGGATCCGATCCGATCCCACTCGCGACCCCATCCCATCCCCAGATATACATATCCCATCCACTACCCCATCCCATACCCAGATGTAACAGAATCATACATGTACTGTATATATATATATATATATATATATATATATATATATGTGTATAAACTGCTGTTTATTAGACCTATTACCAATACATAATTGTGTACAGATGTAAATTAGAGCTCTGCCTGTTTTGTTTGTTCAATTTTGTTTAGCTTTTTGTTCACGTTTGTTCAATTTTCTTGTTCATTTTGTTTTGATCATTTTGCTCACGTCATGTTTTTGCTGTTTCTCATACTTTATGAGTAAAATTTGTATGAGTAAATACTGTGTAAGATAAAAGACATAAGAATAATAAATAATAATAGTTGTAAATTATAATAATATTTAAAAAAATAAGGCGATTTTTGAATTTTTTTATTTAACTTTTTAACTTTTTTTAAATTTTTGTCTCAGCCAGAACCACCTGCAAGACGTGGTAATTCTGAATATATCTTCAGTTACCGCGATTGAGTGGAAAATCACGGAGAAAAGCGAGGTCAAACAAACACACACACACACACACACACACACACACACACACACACACACACACACACACACAAGATTAGCCTCTTTATAGTAAGGATTTCACTTTATCCTAAAACTCTGCTCACTGTAATATTTTATTTCACGCGTCACGCCTCACCCTATCAAAACCCGTCTTAACTTAAGGCCGGCTTAAACTCATTAGTCGCTTCGACCTAAGCGCCTTCTGCGACTGCTAGTGTCAGTCGCTGGTTGCCACTGTCAGTCGCGTCACTGTCGACCTAAGCACTCAGTCGCAGTGAGTTGCAATGCGTTGCGGCGCGTCGCATTCAATCGCAATCCGACCTAGGGTCGGCCTTAGGCACACTTCACGCAATCTCGCCTCTTCCTGCATCATCAACATCACGCTATCAGTTATCAATCCATCAGCTCAGCATCATCATGTACGCTTTCAGATCACCGCGAGGCGAAGTACGCGCCCCCTGCCGGCCGCATCACGGGCAGCGCCAGCCTGGAGACGCTGATGACTGCCGGGAAGGATCCGGCGCCGGCGGCCGCCATCTTTACTCCCGAGCAGAAGCTCATCGTGCTTCACGACTTCGCGCCGTGCGTCGATGATGAGATCGGCGTCAAGCGCGGTCAGACGGTCTACATGCTTTACCAGGAGAACGAGTGGACGTACGTGGTGCGTGAGCCCGATAGGCGGGAAGGCTTCATCCCCGGCACGTACACGGCGCGCTTTGGCACGCCCCTCGCCGAGCTAGCGCTGGGCATTCGACACAAGATGCCGTCGACAGCAACGATCGAACCCATCGCCGCGCAGGCGGGTAGCAAACAGGCGACAGCGAGAGGAGGCGGCGGCGGGGTGCCCGTGGAGCACGAGCGGTACCTGAGTCACGCGAGCTCCGGGTATAGCACGGAGAACGAACACCTAGCGGCTTCGGGAAAGCACGGCGGAGATGGCCGAGCGAGTCAGCAGGGGCACTGGCACCCGCCTCTGCAGCAGCAACAGCAGCAGCAGCAGCAGCAGCAGCAGCAGCAGCAGGAGCAGCAGCGCGGCTACAACCCGCAGTCCCGCTCCGCCTCGGACGCGCACAACTACCGCCAACAAGCCGCCGCTGCTGCCGCCTACCGTCACGCGGACGCTCACCACCAGGGCGGCGCTCGCTACCCGCCACCGTACCCGCAGCAGCAGCAGCAGCACAGCACGCCAGCGCTGTCGCCGCTGCGGCGCGAGTCGTTTAAGGAGACGTTTAAGCGGGCGTCGGACGTGCGGCAGTTCGCGAAGACGCCCGCCGGTCGCTACATCGTGCTCTACACGTTCAAGGCGCAGGACGAGAACGATGTGAGCGTCGAGCGGGGCGAATTCGTCACTGTGCTCAATCAGGACGACAGAGACTGGTTCTGGGTCGTGAAGCGCACGGGCACCGAGGGCTTCGTGCCGAGCGCCTTCATGTACCCGGCCGACAACACGTTCACGCAAGCGGCGCTCGGGGCCAGTCTACGTTGACCCCCCCCCCTGCAGTAGGGACAATGTGCGCTGATTCGCGCGTGCGCAGTAGTCACGCGCGACGTTTACTTGCGCATGTCTAATGATGAGCATTTACGCTGATCTGCGCGTGCGCACTAATGACGCTACACTGATTCACGCATAGAAATACATAGAGCCTAGGCTAGGCCTACCTATATTATTTCTATTGATTCACGTGTATCTTGTTGTGGGCTTTTACGCTGATCTACGCATGCGTAGTAGTGGGCATTTACGCTGATCTACGCTTACCCGGTAATCAGACTCGTATAGACAGGAGTCACTAAGGGTTGTCCGAGAGGACCATCACGTTGATAACCGTATAACGGTGCTTGTAGCGAGAACGACTCTCAATCGAGCTGCACGTGGCACCATCTGTTAAGCAAATAAAATTTTCGATTTTACGCCTGTCACTAGAACTTTGACGGTATCAGCTCTTATTAACGAGGAATTATGCGAGAACTATAGAAAACATCAAAAATTTATCGTGTCTTTCGATTGGTTGCTGGATTACCATGATGATACGAACATTTATAGGGATATGCTAATCCATAAAATATTGCAGTGGCAATAGCCATGTAATTTTTTTTACAATACGTGGGTGGGCCTACCGTATAAGTTTTGACGCACCGCTGAATTTTTTAAAAATTATATACTCGAAATTCAATACATTTTTTTATTTTTTCAGCGGTGGTCTCATGCTCACGCTCACCATTCCAATGTTGTAACCCCAGTAATTGATGGCAGAGGTCACTATAGAGGTCATAGTAATTAGATATAGCAATAACGCGCGTATTGGTTCGATTCTATCATTTCTATCGCCGTAGCTGAGGTAACAGACAGAAGAAACATGTAAAATGAAGCAATGCTTGTCTCGAAACCATGTAATGTAATGCAATCGTGTATGTAGTCAAGGCGGTAGCTAGGAATTAATGTATGAGAGGGGGGGGCAAGGTGAACGAGCGCCGGAGGCGCTCGCTTTTAAGGGGTCTGGGGGCATGCCCCCCAGGAAATTTTGAAATATAGAAGCTCTGAAATGCTATTTCCAGCCATTTCAGGTAGGTTACATACTTAAAACGTCAATATCAATCAACTGTAAATTGTTGAACTTAATAAGTTCCCATTATTCTTCATTGGGTTCTTTTTTGGTGGGGGGCAGCTGCCCCCCCCCCATGCTGGCTACGGCCCTGGTAGTAAGTATACGAACCTTGAGCAGGTGCGTGGATGCGCGCTTGTTACCAACTTTAGTTATATAAAGCTGGTAGTCGGTGAAAGTATTTTCTACGCATAATCAAAAATGTATTTGTACAAATATACGAGTTGTATTTCATGCCGGATAAGCCACAGCATATGTACATAACCGCTGAAAACATTAAAATACTTATATATACTCCATAGTTTTATTTAACGGATATCACGGCCGTACAATGTTGTGCAACGATTTAGCATCTGTAGTTACGTAAAATTAAGTTATATTACAATTTTTGTTTCATCTACGCACACACTTTTGCGTAAAAGCCTACACAGCCTAAGAGTGTCTCTACCCTATAAATAAGTCTGTGCCGTTGCGCTAACTGTATTTCACGTAGAGATGGTGGCCCGAGCAAAAACTTGGTGGGCTCGGGCCTCCGGGTCGGAACTTATTTCGAACGCTGCCGGTGGCACAGGAGCGATTTTTTCTCGTATCTTCCAAAATTTTCGCTCTCGTAATTGTTGTTACCAACAATTGGTAGTTTGCAAAACAAACGTTGCTTTAAACGCTGACGGGAGCGAAATCGCTTGCCGCTCCCGTGTATTTTTTTCGCTGCACCAAATCCATACATATTTAAACTATCACACAAAGACAGCTCGGACTAGATTCATACTAGAAGGACAGACGCCAACTGATTGGATTGCACACTAGTATCTAGGATAATTCTAAACATGGGTTTGTAAAACTAAACGCATTTACATCTTATCAATGATATCGAGAACATCGATTGGCAAGATAATATAAAATTAAACAGTTCTAAAGGGTCTGGTAAATTTCGTGCCCGAATCGAGTAATGAGGATGGAAGATCTTTGTTTTCTAAAAAAAGTTTCAAAAATAAGCCATGTTAAGAATTGAGCCATGTGAGTGGATGATTTTGTTTTATTATTTTATACAATTATTGCAGGGTTATCAATATGTATAACGTTTATTATATTATACAATATTTTATCTTGCTCCACTATCTATCTGCATGGGGGAAGCAGCCCCCTTGCTCTTGGAAACTACATCCTAGAAGATAAGATACTCAATGAGATGATACATGGTACCTACATTGCGTAGCATGGCCATGGATGACAAATTTTTACAATAGAATTATAGGTGACCATGATTTTGACGACCCAGGTAACATTGCAGCTAATCAACTCGGCAACATCACTCACGCAGATGCACTGAAAGAACTATACAAAGAGAAGCGATCGAAGAGCATGTGCTAGAGAATACAATATACGATAGTCTAGGCACCACGAGGCAGTACGCACACACATTATCAGAAGTAAATACGCACACACATTATCAGAAGTAAATACGCACGCAATATCTAATACTTCATTGTAATAAGTAACAGCCTGAGACTACGGTCAAAATCTTACTAACCAACAAATCGACATTGGCAACCCCCACAATCTGATAAACACGTACATTTACAGATAAACAGGGAGAAGAAATGTTCAGACGCGTGCAAATAATTTAGTAAATCAATATGCTGAGTCCAGAAATATATATAGTTATGTATTAAAAAATTAACTCCCATCTAAAACTAAGTTATAAAATGCTCAAACACAATTTCATTACTTCTGTATGAAGCAAACAAGTTGCACGTAATGAATTTTTTCTGAAATCTGGAATCCAGCACCTCAGTGACGGTTTAGCAGCACCTTCATTATAAACCTAAAATTCTACAAGCATAGCTAAGAAGAGCCATTCTATAGCAGACTAAGCAGAGAAAGAAATGTAAACACTATCTGCCTAAAGAATCTACCACAATACCCGTTTTCTTTCGTGCAAAGCTCACAAACAAGCAAAGCAGCTGTGTGACTGAAACTGAGAGCACATCGTCTGACCAGATTGAGTAGCTTTCTCTTCGACGTAACGACGACTCAGTACTGTGCATCCTTCGCCCTCTCGCTTCCTCTCCCCTCCTCGTGCGGAGACGAAGCAGGATTGGCTTGCACGGGAACATGGTCTAGGGCAACCTGCTCGAACGCGCGCTTGTTCTGCGGGTGTCGCGACGGCGACGGGGCGCCATCGAGCGACGCGCCAAAGTATTTGACGGCGGCGCGGTTGAACGCGTCCGCAATCGCACGCCGAAACACGTGCTGCTTAAAGAGGAAGGTCGCGATGTGTCCGGCTTGTACGTAGCGCACCTCGCAGCCCGGCCACACGTCCGTCAGCGCGAACACGCCCTCGCGCGGGATGTAGGCGTCGCTCTCCGCCGCGACGACGATGATCAGGCTCGTGTCGACGGGCACCGAGTAGTTGGCGACGTGCGTGAATTCATCCATGACGCCGCGCATGAAATCGTGCGCGTCCTCGTGCTCATCGCGCCGCCGCCGCCACCAGGAGGCGCCGCTGTCATCGTCGCCGTCGCCGCGCCACCACGAGGCGGCGTCCTCGTCGTCGGCCTGGTTGTGGATGAAGCGGAACATCTGGTAGGCGGCACTGTCCTTCTCCGTGTGCTCGCGCACGTGCTCCCGCCGCCGGTCTGCCGCCTCGAAGTACAGCGCCGCCTGGCGGCATGCAGCGACGTCGAGCTCGTCGGCGCCCCCTGCCGCACGCTGCAGGTGCGCGAACTTTCGCTCGGTGGCGGCGCGGTCGTTGATGAAGTGTCTCGCGGCGCGGCGTCCCGGCTCCGCGCGCCGCCGCTTGCTCAGCGCCTGGTACTCGAGGATCGCTCGCAGAACGAGGATGTCCATCTCATGTTGTTTCGCGACCTCCATGCGCTGAAACTTCTCGACAAACTGCCGACCGTACGGGTACCCTCGCGCGAACTCTCGGCCGAGGCAGAACGCCGGATTCGTCGACTCGGGCGAGTGCAGCATGTGTCGGAAATCCTGCTCCTCCAGATGGCGCTGCTTGTACTGTGACTGCAGCAGCTGCCAGTCGATAGAACCGGAGAGGACGCCGCGCGTGAACACGCTCGACGCCGTGCTCCACGACATGCACGGGATGAGCGGGATAGGCTTGTGGTAGTTTCCCGCTGCGAGCGACGCCATGTGCCCGCCCATCGAGATCCCAGTGATGCCGATCGGACCGAAGCCCTGCCGCTCGCACCAGTTGAAGAGCGCGATCGACTCGAGGATCAGGCAGCCGCCCATCACGAAGAGATCGGTGACGTTCTGCAGCGCCGACCCCCACTGCTCCTTCGGCTTGCGAGCGCCGTAATACGGATTCTCGAGCAGGATCGACGCGATGCCGGACTGCTTGACGAGCGGCCGCGCGACCAGCGTCCGACGCTTCCAGTAGCCGTGGTCGCCCGTGCCGGCGAGGTGCACGCACATCGGCCGCAGCTGGCTCTTCCACTTCAGCGGCAGTATCATCTGGAATTTGGCGACCTCTGCCTCCGGCGGGACCATTCCCGGCGCGAACTCGACCATCGGCGACAGGAAGTGTCCCTCGAGGATCTTGCAGTCGCTGGTCGTCGCCTCCTTGTCGATGTGAATCGGGTGATCCGGCGAGACGATCTGACGCGAGTTCTCGCGGTTGCGTATCCACTGGCGCAGCTCGAACATCCGCTTGAGGCTGTCGGGTTGTCCCCAGCCCTTGATGAAGAACCGGGAGTGCAGGATGCTCCTGTAGAGCTGATCTAACCTGCTCGCCGTCATGGCGGACGGTCTGGAAAGCTCGGCACTGCGTTTCAGGGACGGCGGCTCCGATTGGGGAGAATCTCGGCACGCTCGGCGATGCCTACATGTGTGAGGTCCTGCAAAACCACCGGGCCTAGTTTAGCACACAAGATTAGTTTAGCACATAATTTATGCGAAAACAATAGATTGGCACGTACGGTAGCCTCAAGAATTTAAATAAACCTGTTTCTTCCCCTAAGAAGTAGCCAGTAGCTCACTAATTAATACAATTAATAGTAATATAAGTCTAACAGTGACACACAGCATTGCCGGTGTCACGGTCTGGGATTACCCCAGTCTGAAATTACCCCAGCACGTCGTGGGCATGCGTCACGCTGCGTGTAAAGCGCAGTAGCATTGGGCAAATGAGACTGCCGCGGTGGCAGTCAGCGTTGTACCGTAGAGTTTGGACCGTAGACGTAGTGCCTGCGATAACTAATACAGTAACATATACTAGACTATTATGAGGGGGGGAACGGGTATTTTCGGGACGCGGGATTGGCCATTTTAATTACCTGGGAACTGGGAAATGTCAGATAAATTTTTTGTGATTCGGGAATAGAAGTCCATCGGGACGTGGGAAACACCCTCTAAAATTGTCTGGGATCTGGGAAAATTGTGTCAATTCGTCGGGATTTCAATTTCTGCGCTAATATTTTTTTAATATTTTTTTTTACAATTTTTTTTATTAATTATGCCCAGATAAATAATACTATGTAAATATTAGTATTTATGTAGTGTTTGAAAACCTAAACTACTGAATTTCCTGAAACATGTCTACATAATTTCCTGGGAACTGGGAATTGGGATTTTATTTTACTGGGAACTGGGATATGGGGTGTTTTTTGCTGGGAAAGTGGGAATGTACCCCCCCCGTTCCCCCCCTCTATTATAGCTCATAATAAGCAGGGGATATCAAATAATTATGTTACAATCTACTCTTAGCATTTTGAGTTGACAATGAGTGGTTTTGAACAATGTTTATGTTCAAAACACCACACCGGCAAACTACCGCGAAGATGGCACACAGCCACACACTCGTTCTGTGACTAGTCAACATTGATTAACTCGTCCAGCTATATGCAAGCACCTAGAAAATGATCAGACGAAATAGGAGAACAAAGTGCCGAGTGAACACAATTATGTCGTTTAATATCCGTGGAGTTACCGTGTTATCTATACTTTAATGGCAAATTTCGTTTGATAGTAATGAGCACGCACACATGTCAATGCTGAAAATGGCCTACCTGGACAAAAATGAGATTTTTACAAAAATAAGTTCCTAAGTGCATATTTAATCCGGATAATATTTGGCTATATCTAAAGAATTGACCGATCTACAGCAATTTGAAGATCGGAAACCGACTTATTCCGGAATATGCAGCTTTTGAGATAAAGCGTTCCGGGTAAGGGGCCCAGTCGGGGATAAGCGGTCAGGGGCCGGTCTGAAGGACCGTCCGCTCTAAACGGCTGTTTGACCGTCGCCGCTCAAATTTGGAATTTTTTATTTATTTAAAAAAAAATTAAAAATGACCATAATAATCTAGAGATATCTGAACCTATATATCCGGATTAAATATGCACTTAGGAACTTATTTTTGTAAAAATCTCATTTTTGTCCAGGTAGGCCATTTTCAGCATTGACATGTGTGCGTGCTCATTACTCAAAACAATGACTTGCGACTTAGTCCGTATTATGCGGGAGCGGGTCACATATGTTGTTATCTACTCCTGATAATGTGAATAATTCAACTATCCCCCTCCTACTCCTCCTCCCCCTCCTCCTCCTCCTCCTACTCCCACATCACCTTCTCCCTTCGATCTCCATCACCTTCTCACATCTTGCTCATCTATCACTGTTTCCCCTACTCCTCCTCCTCCTCCTGCCCCCTACTCCTCCTTCATCACCTTCTCCCCTCCTCCTCCTCCACCTGCCTCCTACTCCTCCTGCTCCTCCCCCTACTCCAACACCGTCTCCCCTCCTCTTCCACCACCACCTACTCCTCCTTCTCCTCCTCCTCCTGCCCCCTACTCCTCATCCATCACCTTCTTCATTCGATCTCCATCACCTTCTTCCTCTCCTCCTCCTCCCCTCCTCCTCCTCCTCCCCCTACTAACTCCATCACCTTCTCTCCTCCTCCTCCTCCTCTTCCACCACCACCTACTCCAACAGCTTCTCCCCTCCTCCTCCTCCTCCTGCCTGCTACTCCTTCTCCCCCTCCTCCACCTACTCCATCACCTTCTCCTCCTCCTCCTCATCCTCCACCACCTACTCCAACACCTTCTCCCCTCCTCCTCCTCCTACTCCAACACCTTCTTCCCTCCTCCTCCTTCTCCTCCTCCTCCTCCCTCCTCCATCACCTTCTCCCCTCCTCCCCCTACTCCATCACCTCCCCTCCTCCTCCTCCTCCTCCTGCCCCCTACTCCTCCTCCATGACCTNCTGCGCGAAAGATCTGCGCTTCAGCGCAATTGGGATCAACATCTCCTTTCGGCAACGCTTCTCTAGTATCCCGTCTCATCTGGACTCGCAGGCAAAGTAGAATAATGTAGTCGTGAAATAGCACTATTTTCCCGTTTTTCCGTTGTACACTCTATAGGTATTATCCGCTCTTGGTGAGATATATATATATATATATACAACTTACACGGTATCACAGAGAAGTGATCATTTGACTGCAGTAAAAATTATTTAACCATTGTGTAACAAGGCTTATGATTAGCTCAAATGTGATTATTTAACCGCGGTGAAAATAATTTATCCATGTTAAAGGGATACATTATTCTAGGTTCTTTGGATATTTTCAGTTAAAATAGGTCAAAATTACGCTACATAACAAGTTTTATGGTTTTTTTAAACATTTTAAAACAGGGCTATACCGTTGCTTACAACGATGCATGGTGGTGCCATTGGAAGTGCATCCACTAAAAGTTGCGCAAAGCAATGTTTCGGCTGCAGGCTACAGACCGGGGGTGTTTCTTATTAATTAATTTAGGAGCAGAAGGATTGCAATATCTTTGCACTGCGCAACTTTTTCAGTGGATACGCTTCCAGTGGCGCCACCGTCGTTGTAAGCAACCGTATAGCTGTCAGTTTTGAAATGTGTAAAAAAACGTTTTTAATTAATATTGAACCATGAAACTTTTTATGTATACAGTACAGTAGCATAATTTTAACCTATTTTAATTTATGCATCCCTTTAAGTTATTTTCGCCAATGTAAATTTTTTTATTTCTGAGTACGATGGCCAACCATAACCGTTTGCACGTGACGATGTAGCATTTTCATGGACTTTAGTCTATGGCAGTATGGTTGAGAGGGTCTATGTCCCCCAGGTTACTGTCGGAACGTACCCTGGGTATGGTCCGGTATACCGGAACGTACCCTGGTACTATCTAATATGCCGGACCGTACCTCGCCTACTCCACTAACGAGTCTAGGGAGTCGACTACGCCTACTCCTTAACCCTAACCCTAACCATATCAGATAGTTACCAGGGTACGTTCTGGCAGTACCCTGGGGGACATAGACCCTATGAGCGGCAGTATGAGTATCTACCTTTCTCCGAGGTGGGTGCAACTGCCCCCCCCCCTGGCTAGCTATTGGCCTGGTATGGTGGTGGTGTTGGTGGTGGCATGGCTTAATTGCATGGCTGTGGTGTGCTATTATTATTAATAGTGCTGCATTTTGTTTGCACGTAATCTGTTTTTTGTTTACATTGACCACATTCTGTAGTAGTTTGTTTCTGAAACCCTATGCTGTAAAATACTAAAAGTTTAACTATAATTTATACTAAGGACACGGAGCATTTGTCCACATCGCGCGTTTATCAACATTGTGTTTTTAGCCTGAGCTCAGAGTTGGTATACAGATTAGTTATAATGGGAATTGCTCTTCTACTATGACATCAAAATACATTTGACTTCATATAGCCTTACGATAGTGATGAAGTTATGTAACGGACATAATTGACCTATCAGTCTGGATTAATTGACAGTTATAGCTTTAGCAAAATAGTATTGTAATAGGCACATTCTAATAATGCTGCAAGTGCTGAAGTGCTACATAGTACAAGGTCTAAGCACCAAAAATCAGGTTCATATGCCCAAACAAATGTATTTCGAAATTTAATGGTGGCCATTTTGAAAATATGGTGCCACGCCCCCTTAAAAGGCCAAATCTGTTGGGGAAACAAAAACACATATAGCCTGGTCGATTTTGAGACCTAGCAACAATGGGCAGTGGAGTATGGTTTTCTCGCTCCAGCAGATAGGTCAATTATTGCATACATGAAAACAACAACAAATATATGTCACTTATTGATAATTCACTGGACATTCTACAGGTGAGAAGAGGTTCTTCATGGGGGACGAGGCCTGCACAGTTGACTGTGCACTGTTTGGTATGCTGGCTCAAATGGTCTGGAACATGCCAGGCTCACCACATGAAGCAATCATCAATGGTAGGTGGCAATATGTGCATAGTCGTTTTTGTCTTATCCTCACACCATCTAAATATTTTGCCCAACACAATTAATTAAATATATACGTAATTAAACTGAGATTATCCAACAGGGAAGTTCACAAACTTGAAGGAATACGTCTACAGGATGAAGGAGACTTACTGGCCGGACTGGGATGCATGCATTCTGTGCCCAGAGAAGAAGGAAGAGAAGAAAAATGAATAAGGTCACTGTGACAGCATGAACACACGCTGTGCTACGTCCTGCTATATACGGATTTTTAGCTCATCTGACATAGTCAGATGCAGCTTGTAGAATCGCTTGATCGTCCGTCCGTCCGTCCGTCTGTCCGTCCGTCAACAGTTGGGCACAAATCTTAACCGCTCGACGTACAGTCACGATATTCGGCACATTGGGGGGGATCGTCAAAACGAGTTGGGCCTGTTGAAGCTGGGGGTCAAAGTGTCAAAGGTCAAGAGGTGTAAAAGAAGGGGGAACATTCACTCCTTAACTTAAGGTATAGGGAGGAAATCAGAATTGCGGCACAAATCTAAACGCGCTCGACCTAGGCTCGTGATAGTCGGTGTATAGCATCATGGTAGGAAAAGCCATCACTGTGCCGAAATTGGAGTCACAGGTTCAAAGGTCAATGGGCACAGGGCAGATTTTAGAACATTTTCTGAGGACATGGTCTGACGGAGCGATTTGAAAACTTTTTTTGTTTTCAGCGGTGACTAGCATTTTTATGGCATTATTGAAAGACCATGAAATCTACTTTCTGCTGACAGCGAAGAGTAAGTGTCAGATAACCTTTTGACCCTCAAGAGGAGGGTTAAACATGGATTCTGTTGACTGTATTTAGAAAGAATCTTGACTGCCGCGGTTTGCTAGTAGAATCTATACATGCCCTGGATGTATGAGGCTACAATGTCACAGTGAAATTTTTCAAAAGCCTAAATTTGTCTTAAAGAAGGTTTATGCCTCCTTAAATCGTATAATTTATATGGCATTCTGTAGTCGTCAGTATGTTACATGTAATGGTATGCCACTGCCAGTGGCTACTGCCAGTGCATGCGTTGTAGTACTGTGGAGTTTTTGCCTTAATGGTTACACGTGGCAGCTCTCTATTGCGCAGCCTGTATGCGCTTGCGTAGGTAAATGGATGAGTGCCTTACCTCATTCTGTCTTGCAGATTAGTTGTTGCTACAGTGCATACTACGATATGATGGGAGCTTCCATCTTTAATCTGAAGAACCTTAACACGTACGCGCCATTCTCGGGCAACTTTCATAACGAATCCAACGAACATTCTTTTGAGAAGCGTTCCTGATACCATCCCTGTGCATTCCACTGTTTCGGCGTGTATGTGAACACATTTGGACTAACAGGGTTTACTAGAATCCCAACACTCCACCACAGAGTCACCGCAGTAGACGTTAGATGAGCGCTGTCGCTATGCGGCACTTGTTCTTGGAAGAATCTGTCTCTAGATATCTCTAAATATTTTTCATAAGACTGATACTGTGTGCTGCTCATGTGTCTACGTAGGTATACTGCTTGCATTTTTTTGTCACAGATGTTAAACTTGATGATATTGCATTGGTACGTAGTAGATTAGGTATGTTTTTAGCTCATCTGAATCTGAAATAGTCAGATGCAGGGCTGCCAACTCTCACGCATTGACCGTGAGACTCACTCATTTTGACCAAATCTCACGCTCTCACGCTGATCTTACAATATCTCACGCACAGCAAAAAATGCTGAGATATATCTCACGCATGAATATCTCTGCATGAATAAAACGCTGAAATATCTCACGCACAGCAAAAAAATCTTACAATATCTGAAAACAGTCACTTTAGTATGCCCACCCAAATTGCCACAAATTGAAGTTATTAAAATGCAAAAGCTCCTACCGTGGGAGGGGAATCCCCTCCCCCCCTCGGTCGCTTTGCTCCCTCGCATCTCACTCTCACCTATCACCCAATGTTGGGTCATCGCCAGAGCGTTCGAACGCCATATGGTGTTTTTATTTTCCTCTGCGTTATGTATTTCTTTGTATTTTATTTGTTTTTGCATTTATTTGTTCTGTAACATTTGTTTATGTTCTGAATTAAATATATTTCTTTATAATATTAGCTTATAATTTAATATATTAGCTTGTTGACTAATAATGCGTGTCCTAAAATTTTTCTAGCCAATCACGTTGCTCAATTTTTCTTCCAAAGCTATACGGTTTGGGAATCGCAAATTCGCGTCCGGGCCAGGCCCAGGCAAAATTTTTGCAGTGTGTACACGCTATGCCATGGTAAATACGCGCTAGTTTGAACTAATCTGGCCCCGCTTTGAAGCGTGCCAGGCCGCCTACACCACGCTCACCTGTGTGTGTACACAATTGAAGCCTGGCCTGCGTTCAATTTTGCAATACGCATGTGCATAGCGTTATTTAAGTCGACATAAAATTACACTAAATGTCTGCTGAGTGACGTAACAAGCTAAACTGAGCATGCACAGTCAACCCGTGCCAACTTAGCACTTCAGTTTTGTGTCTGTATGCTGGGATTTAGCCTGCGTCTAGCCATGGCCTGGCCCGGACTAGTTTAGTGTGTGATCAAATTTTGCAGTCTGTACGGGGAATAAATCCAAGTAATTACAATTACCAACAATATTTTGGAATAATTGTTCATAACCTGGAAGTCCATGCATGCTACACCAGTTTCTTACCGAATATGAGGGACTTCTTGTTTGTGAGCATTACGAAAAATACGTCGGGGATTTGGACTGTGGATTTCTTGTAGCACATCAAATGATGTTGCAGAGTACGTACTAGCACAAGGTTTTTGTTCGACGTGAAAAGTTACGTGAGTTAACCACTGATCTCTATAATAATATTATAGAGATCAGTGGATTATTATAGATTATATTATAGAGATCAGTGGAGTTAACATGTTATTGTGTAGTGTAGTATAATTTCCAATCATTTGTGGTTTCTTGACTTTTAATGTGATTGTACGGCTGATAATTTTTGTTCAGTACGTTTGCTGTGTATACCACAAATCTTATTTATCTTTGATGAAAATAAGGGATCGAGTTTCTATAAAAAAATCGATTTTAATATTTCTAATATAGTGGCATATATGCCACTCTATTTGAAATGTTAAAATCGCATTGTTATAGAAACACAAGTAGTAGCTTATACACAGTATACACTACTATACACCACGACAAATGTATCGACGCTGTACTACACGTGTTTAGAATGGCTTAATTAATATAGGTATAACTATTTCAATAATTATTATTGGTAAAACTCAATTATAACTACAAGCTGTGTATTCTGTGAGCGACTCGTGTGGCAGATCATTGCTGTGTGTGGAGGATGTTAAGTAATGATGAAGAGTACTATAACTCAAAAGATGGTTTAATGCTGGAGCTGGTACATGTGGCTTCTTGACACACACGAACTGGCGAACAAGAGAGAAAGCGATATCTATCTGCGCTGACCTAACAATAATCACTAGTTTATAGAATGTGTGCATACGCGTAGGAAGTAGTCCATACTATTACATCCCCCTTATCAGAGAAATCTTTATGTGATTGTACTGAACACAGATAGTGATTTTTTTCGTTTATCCAAAATAGCGTGCATTAACATAATCGAACTATTGGAGATAACATGCATTAAAAGTCTTTTCTCCAAGTTCTTATATGCTTTCTGTTATAGTCCTTTATCAAATTCAAGAACACTGTTTATAATGAAATAAAGATCATCACTGCTTGTGACACAATACAGCCAAGTCTTTAACTGTAAAGCCCGCCGCACACGTGTGGACGATGGCACAGCAACTTCCACGGCGTGTGCGGATGCAAAATCCCTCGATCTGGGTCGTGTGGAAAATATCACACGTGTTTGATATTTTCTTCTACGTGTGGAAGTTTGAACAGCGTGTGCGGAGTGGCTGTGTAAATTTCTTTCAATTTCAGTGAAAATTGTAAGTTTTAATCTATGGGAGGATAACCCCGCTTCATTTTAAATTCATAATCTTTGCAAAATATTATTATTCTCGAGAGATATTGCTCATGCGCGAGCACCGTTTCAGGCGTGCAGTACGGCCTAAATAAAAGTACGTAATATAGCTTGCTGAGGCAGAGAGGTGTCGGAGACTGACGGAAAAGGGCAGGAAAGACAGCCGAGGTGCGGTGGAAGAAGAAGGATGCTGAGCGTGCGACAAGGAAGACAATTACGAGGAAGATGACGTTACCCGTTTCAATGTAGATTAGTTGTAGCGATGAATAAGGAAAACTCTAAAGTCCAAGCAGTTGTGTTCAGCAAATAGTATATTGTTTCTCAACCCACATGCACTCGCACAGAGGCACGCAGCCGCGTACCTCGCGCACTCACGTCCGACCTCCTCACAACCAAGAACCTTCCTCTTATACATTTCTAGATAACAAAAGACGTCGTGCGCGCCCGGACAACCGACATGTGCTGCCCACATGTACAACAACTCCCTCTCAACCGTTTCGCATCTCCATCATCCATACTACATCAAACACGCTACCGCCGACCAACACATGCAACCACAGTCTCTACATTTCCAATCACTCAACTACTATTTGTGACATCTGCAACCCATACTTTACATTACCTTCTTTTCCTCCAAATCGACTTTAGCGTCCTCGCTAATCTAAAACAACCCCCAATCTTAATCCACCCTACGTACACACCCATGCACCCTTACATCCTACATACACACACACACACACACACACACAACACACACACAACACACACACACACACACACACACACAACACACACACACACACACACACACACACACACACACACACACACCCCACACACACACACACACACCTGTCTCTCATCCTGGCGAATAGACAATCCAACATTACCCAAAATTGCTCGTACCCTTACTATACAAATACAATATCTCTTTCATCGAACACCAATACACTCATATACAAAAATACAGTTTGAACAAAAATCCATATGACCACTATAATACAACATCGATACACAGATACACAGATCGATGGAATACACGGCCCTGTGAAATCATCCCACTGACCACTTTGATATAATCCACATGCTTGCAACACAACACATTGAAATACCAAAATACGCAATAAATACAATGAAAGAAAATAGATATCATAACATCACTGAAAAAAACAAAAATCCCCAGGAGTACGT